CCAACGCGTCATTTTATATAATTCTTGGCGTAATTCTGGACATTCCCAATTAAGATCAGGCATTTTACGAGAAAATAAATGTAAATAATATTGATCTGTTTCTTTATCATATTCCCAAGCTGAACCATTAAAAATACTTTCCCAATTATTTGGACGAAGACCACCAGGTTTACCATCTCTCCATATGTACCAATCACGTTTTGGATTTGTAAGTGATGATCGAGATTCGATAAACCATGGATGTTCACTAAAAGAAGATGTTAGACTTTTGTTTTTCTATTTTTCTAATAAATTTATAATACATACTCGCTTGTATGATTTAAAACAAGATCAAAAATGATGCGCATATTTCGATTATGAACTTGTTTTATAAGTTCATCAACATCTTCCATTGTACCAAATACATCCATGATGTCTTGATAATCAGATATATCATATCCATTATCCTAATAAAAATAATGATAATTTTATATGTAGATCAAAAATATAAAATATTTACATCATTTGCACTTTTAAAAATTGGACAAATCCAAATAATATCAGCTCCAAGATTTTTTATGTAATCAAGTCGTTGAAGAATACCTATGAAAGAAAACAAAGATTTCTAGATTTATTTTTTCTTTTGTTGATAAAAATATACCTCTTATATCACCTATTCCATCTCCATTAGAATCTTGAAATGATCGTGGGTAAATTTGATATACTACAGATTCTTTCCACCATTTACGTCGAATGTTAGTTGTAGGATAAAATGATGATTTCATTGTTAATTCTGACTTAGAAATAGTTGATGGATTTTCTGTAGCTGTAGACATTTTATAACGTTAAAATAAACAATAATGTAATCTAGAAGTTTATTAAGCAGTGGAAGGAAATAGTGGTATGGCAAAAGACAACATTCTAGTCTTATACGGAACAATTGTGCTATTTGTCACACGTCGAAATACAAGTGTTATTTTTTCACTCTATCAATTGTTTTAGTAATAAAATGTCAAAAAAAGACGAACAAGCCCATATCATCTTTTATTTTCGAAAACCGCCGGTAACCGGCGATTTCGAATAAAATCAACAGTAATCAGTGGTTTTTATCAAAACCGACGGTGTTGTTTAGTTAGTTTTACCAAGTGTAATTGATGAAAACTGCAAAAGGGAAAATAGCTTAAATAAGATTTTTGACTTTTCTGATTTAACGTTGATGAAAAATAAAAACACAAAATCCTGCTTTCTTCGAAAAAAATTAGTGCAAAACGTATCTCTAAAGCGAAAACTTTTTAGCTAGCATAGTGAAGATTTATCAGATTTTTTTCCATATACGCATAACTTTTCAAATTAACATATATGACTATTCGGCACGCAAAAAAAGATGCAGAAACTTGTTTTTTATTCAGATGTAATACAACATCTACATCAAGTGTAAGTATAAATTTATGAAAAAATAAAATAATTTTTTTCATTTAGATATGGACCATCACTGAACTGAAATGTAAATATAAATTTTTGAAAAAAAAAATTTCCTTTATAGATGTGATCCAACACAATCCGAATGTAAGTATAAATTTATTAAAAATAATTTTTTTTTATTTAGATGCGATTCAACACAACCCTAGTGTAAGAATAAATTTAAAAAAATATAACTTGTTTGTTTAGATTTAATTGAAAAACTTATGGAAGCGTAAGTACGAATTGATAAATTAAATTGCGTATTTATCCATACGATCAATTTGAGGGATGCGGCAAATCCTGCGCTTCTACATAAAGATTTTAGATTTTCAGTAATAAAGCACCCAAATTAGATCAAATCTTTGTGTCAGTTGTAAGTTAGAAACATTTTTAGTCGTTCTACTTGATATTGCAGTAGCATATTTGTTAAATCTCAGAAAAATACTTCCGACCTTCGAGATTTGGTAAATATAGTAATACAATATGAAGTAGTGTGACTAAAATTGTTTATAATTTATAATTGACACAAAGATTTGGTTGAATTCGGAAGTCTTCTTACCGAAAGTGTACAATCTTAAGGTAGATAAGCAGGATTTGATGCACCCCTAAAATAAGCGATAAACATCATGGGTAGGGTATGTAGGAAGGATGTTCAGAGGGTTGTTATGAGGATTCATCTCTTGACCGTGCTTACCAACGGTTAACTAACGGTTTTTTACCGGTTCGAGCGACATGAGAGTGCATTTATCGCTCAGTAAAAAAAATGAAAGAACCGGAGCTCAAAAAGTAATGAAATATAGTTTTCAGTGTCCAACATGGGTCAATTTTTCGTTATTCGACCCGACCCGAGGTCGAAGATATTTTTTGTCAAGGAAAACGCGTCTTTTTCACAGTTTAACAATCTTTTCAGCGTATCTATATAACTTCTCTCAATATTCGAAACAAAGAAACCATTATCTTATTTGAAATTGCCGCTTGTCTTATAAAAAGTTCGAAATCGGTTAACTGTTAGTGACCCGACCCGAGTCGGACACTGATAGCTTCTATAAAAATGTACTTCATCTTGATACAAGGTTCTATAATTTAGTTGTGCACTTTGTTGCATGAGTTACTTGAACTTTATCCTACCAAAACACACGTTAAGATAGTTTAACACTAGATACACGTTTGGCATTCTAAACTGTATATCTTTGTGGTTTACCAGAAATTCTGTATAACATCAGGAACAATATCAGTTGCGAATAATAGTTGACATTCAAGAACATTTGGCATCGGATTAAGTGATTCATCACATTGTTGTTTATTAATAGTATTTATATCAACATCATCAGGTGTTGTTGAATCTTCACTATGTTTTTTAGTTTCTGAAAAAATTATACTGTGTGTTATTTTGTAGAAGAATAAAGACTTTACTTGGATCGATAGGTTTTGTTACTCGATTAGTTGATGATCGTCCTTCATTTCTTGTATTACTCATTCAGCATGAATAATACATTGAAACTTTGTTTTCAAAAGTGCGACAGGTCGACAAATACGTATAATAAGTGATCTAAGAAAATAATTTATTATAAGAAATCTTATTTCAATTACTAATTTTATTTACTTTGTTGATAGAACATCTCCAATTGATGTTTGTTGATCATCTACATTAGGTTGTCCTTATAAATCAACATCATTTTTGTCATTTTTGTTTGTTCATGTGTTTTTTTAATTTCTTTAACTTCAGCTGATCCAATTAATTTTTAATGCTCTGTTTTCTCGCACTACTAAAAGAAATTTCTTCATTATCATTTTCAATTTAATTACCAAAATCTGGAGCATAAATAAAAAAAGAAAAGCAGACTTGTTCCATTCGTTGTTGTTCATCAATTTCTCATACAAAAACATAGTATCACCTAATGTTTCAATTCAATCAGAACCACTAAGTTCATCATCAAAATAAAGAAGAAGAATAAGAGAGAAGAATTTTGCTGTCTATCGGCCATCTTGAGTTATGAGATGTTGCCTAGAAGCAGATTCAGTAATAGGATCTCTTCTCTACAACTAGTCCAATCTGCAGCTTTGGAGAGAAGGCAAGTTTCACGCAGAGTTTTTGTACTTAGCTGCTTGAGCTCTCTACATACACTAACTAGCTACATGCTAGACATAAGAGCAAGTATATGTCACAACGTACTCATAATGCTATTGGATGGATGATTCGAAACAAGAAAACGTTAGTGACTTGTCCAAGATCAGTCTATGGCCAGTAACATTGAGGTTTCAATCAGATGGTTGACTATATAATTGAACAAGAGGAACAAGTTCATTAATAGGTACGTGAGATAATGAATAAGCACAATATAATCGTGATATAACAGTTGGTATTCGTGTTGAAACATTTGGTGGTAAAAATTCCAGAATTAAATTATCTTTTAATTCGAGTGATTCAACCATTGAATTATCAATATCTGAATAACTATTTTGAGTATTATCACATAACATACGAAATTTATTTGCATCAGTTCTTACACTTAGTGCAATATCTTCTAGTTCATCTAATAGTTCTAATTCATCTTGTTGATCATCATGAGTTATTCTTCCACTATTTGCATCAACAGCCGATCGTTCTTCATCTTCACCTAACGTTGACAAACCTAGACGATCTAAATAAATGATCAAATTTCATATAATATAATACAAATTAGATAGCTAGATTTTTACTTTCAGTCATGATCGTGGATTAATTGTGTACGTCAAAACAATATGATGTGATGTTTTTTCTCTTCTCTTTTTCTTTCTTCTTTTCGTCATGTACCATTAGCCTAAAAGTAAACTATGACTACCAGCCTCTTTCTCTACAGAAAGTGCCAATCATTGTTTTCTTCTCTTTATTGCGTTCGTTGAATCGCTTTTTTACTATTTAACCTAACGCACAGGTGTACTCAAAACAGACCCTGGAACATTTCAATGTATTGGTGACTTAAAAAAACTACTTCGAATAGATATATTCATTGTTATATCAGTTAATATTCGACCACTTGAATAATTTTGAGCAGGACAAACTGGCTACAAAAGAACATGCTATATGATAGATTTTTCTATGTTTCTAATAGAAAGAAAAAACATTTTCTAATTTTTCATCTGATGAGAAGAAATTCTAAATTGCCAATGCATTTTAAGAATCAATTTTCAGCTGGTAGTTAGTTATGAGAAAATCAGATGAAAGAATGTTTCTTATGGAAAATTTCTAATGACTATTTCAAACTATATTAAAAAGATTTGGATCTAAAATTACGGCAGAACAACATATAGAGCTTCAGATCTAATTTCCTCGTAACTCATTTTTTACCCATAAAAGAAGTGAAAAATGAAATTTATTACTGATCAATCAAACTCGCTAAATTAGAATGTAACTCTGAATTGATCGATTGCTCAGTTGTTCTTGCCAGACTGAACTTTAAAATGTTATAGAAATTGATTTATGAAAATAAAATAGTTCATAAATATATTTCGTTTTATGATCATACAAACTTCTAGTGAACTATCATCAATTGGTAATGAAAGTTGATTTAATTCTATATCTTCTATTGGCACTGAGATGATATTCTCATCAAGATTCACTGATTTTTCACTTGGTTGACTATGATCAATTTGTGATATATCAAGTGAATATCGAATAGGTGATAAACATGATGAGCCCAGTGATGAAGCAGGTAAGCAAGATATAGTTTTTTAAATAAATACGTGGTCGTTGTTTTATTGTTTGTGATATATTTGTTGATGATTGTCTATTTGGACTAGAGAAAAAAAAGAAAATCGGTGCATTATTTGTATTTGTATTTTCATGATCATCAAATTTCTCATTTCCAAATGATGATCATTCACTTTCAGGATTCACTGAAACGTAAATTTTACGATTTACAACAACAAAGAGAGACTGATTCCAGTAAAACCTAAATATCTATCGAAGAAAAGTGTTATGTAGTCAATCGTAGTGGTGATCATTCATTCTTTATGGGATACGAGTTGTCCGATAATCGACGTCGGAAGCTTCATACTGCATTTTGCACTCAGGTGACACTCAAATGTCATCTTATTGTTACTCGATCGCATACTGAAAACAAATAATTGCTGACGTGTTTTGAATTAACATTATGCATACAACATGAAAATACAATAGTCATATACATCATTATATTAAATTTTCTTTTTAGCCATTCTCGTCACTAAAAGTGCGTTACGATAATTATTCATATTTTTGTTGTGTATAAGTTTCTTTTAAAAGAAATAAATAGAAAAAAGAACGAGTGCGATTATATACAGCTTGTCTACAGGTAACATACTCACTCATTTTTTACCTTCGGATTCTTGTGAATCAATAAATTAAAATGACCAAGAGCTGAAACTTACACTTAATCTATATTGATGTTAATTTCAGTTGCATTAAAATGTTCGTTTCATTGGGCTGAATTATAACGACTCTAGAAGGATCGAATGTAGTGGTGACGCACTCATCCAAAAAAAGTTCTTATATCAGAGTGATTCAAAACAGCACGCATTTCTCGAAAGTTTCTCACTTTGAACGAAAAGGTTTAATTTGTGTTTGTATCTAAGATAGCAAACCTTACGATGATCAGATATTTTCTTTGGTAGTTCGTTTCTAGACAGAGTTATCACAAAAACATTATAGTAACGCACTCATCATTCTTTTTTCTTACACTCTCTAAAACACCACGTTTTCACTGCTTTGATAACAATATCAGCCTATTCGCCGATGTCAAACTTTAGCTCAAACTTCAACGATATTACTCTTATTCGTACATTTTTAAGTGATAAAATGGTGTTTGAAATATGACACAAAACAATGAGTCTCTGTTTTCACCATTTTTGCATAAAAAAATCTTTCTTTTTGGCTTGCGACTACCATTTATTCTCGTTTTTATATAAAATAAATGAAATCTATCGCTAGAGAATATACAAAAATCTATAAAAACTTTTGAATGAGAAAATTTCGGTTATCTCATGTTCAAGAATTCCTCTGCTCAAGTTTGGCCAAGTATGGTTCATTTCAGCAGAATAAGCTGTATAATTATTGGTAGTACTAGGCGCTATAAAATCGAAATTGAATGAATAAAATAAAATAATACACAAAACACAATGACATGCATATATATAAGTAAACATACTCTGACCTCAAAATAAATGTTTGGTTCTTTCTCAATTTTCATCATTGCAATAGAAAGACATTGGTCTAGAACAAAGCATCAAATTATCATCATGATCAATATAAAATCTTCATACGAACTCACAAAACTATTCTTTTTTATTTGTCTTTTTTTACTTGACATAATAGGAGAACAAATATATAATCTATGTGTAGAAAATAATGACCAGAAAAACAAACTAGCTAAGTTTTTTATCCCTGTTCTTTTGGTTGTTGTAACATCTCTTCTTGTTGATAAGATGAAATTTGTTTTTGAGCTTATTTACGTGCACTTGTAAAACTAAAATCTTCGATTGTATCATGATATAAAACAGAATAATTAGTATCTTTTCCACTTAGATCAGTTGATTCATCTTCGATTTCATTTGTTGTTGTTTTCTTTTCATCATCATCCAGTGGACTCTCAGCATGATGATCTATAAAACTTGATTTTCTTGATGTTTGAAATATTACAGTAGAAAACGATGATCGACGACGTTGATCAGATGAACTGGGATCATTTTGTACAACAGGTATTATATTTTCTTTAAGTAATAAAACAAACATATACAACAAAATATTTTCAAATTATTGCAATTAGAACTTTTCAAGGATTTTATTCTATAGAATATAAGAAAAATCGAAATCTTTTTGAGATTATGCCCTTTTTTTCGATGAATAATAAGAGACACAAACGTTTTCGGACAAATTTCGATATGAATTTCTCAGCAGTGCAAGATTGCATCATTTCTGGCGCTTTTTATTTGCCAGAGTCATACTTGTAGAATATACACAGAAAATGAAAGCTTTATTTTGCTTTTATTTACTGCGTGTATGCCTTACAAGAGTATTCGAATTGACTAGTCGTTTTTGAGTTAAGACTAAAAGCATTATATAGGCCCTAATGAGCTACGAATATTCGAAAAAGAGTTCAGATCTTTAGCTTTTTGGCACAGAGATACTAAAATTTCATAATGTTTTTTCAAGTCAACATCGTAGCACCTCTTTAGGATCACTGACTTTCAACTTGAAACTTTGCATAAAAATAGATCTCGACGAGAATTGTTTCTTGTGAAAGTTCCAGATCTTTGAGTTATTTCTATTCTAAAACATGGTGATGGTGAAGTTGTGCATTTTACATCGCTCATATGCAGTGATAAAGTCGATGTTCTCATCTTAGGATGGAAGCAAATAGAAAAAACTTGAAATTTTCACCATCAGCTATTGTTATTAAGACTTGTCTGTATGAAAATTTTTGAAGTCCGAATTCGAAAATCAGTTTTTCCAGCCTTCATTAGTTAAACAAATCCGGATATTTTCATGAATCAAATTAAGTTCAATGATATTTCTTACCAAGATTAAGCACAAGTGATCGTTGCCCTTCTCGTTTCTTATATATTGGTTCATTTTCGAGATCAATTTCTAAACTATCTGGTGATATGACTTTTTCTTGATCTATTGCTACTGACGTTGATTTATGTTTCGTTTGTTGTTTTGATGTTTCTATTTCAGATAAAGTTTTTGCTGTTGCCTGTGTTAATGCTGATATAATATCATTTTGATTTTGTTCTGATTGAAGCAATAGATTATGAGACGTTTGTTCAAGTTTTTGTCTTTTTGTTAATGATTCACTCGTATCATCTTCTCTTTTTGTCTCAGTAGACAGTGTTGATTGTATATTTTTAGATTGATCAATAGCATGTTTCTTTTCTTGAAGATGATGCAATTCTTCCTTTTTATAATCAATTATATATACACGAATTTCATAGGGATGAAATTTAAATGATTTTTCGTCCTAAAACAAAAGAGTTTTCTTTGTTTAGATTAAAGATGGCTAAAAGCTTTTCGATGATTTTGGACTACAGAAAGCAATTTATGTAAGCTTTTAGAGAAAGATTTTCTTTATGCAATAGTGAATACATTATCAAGTTCTACCGCGTACCGTTGATATGTCGTATAGCCATCATTCAAATCATCGATAAATAAAATGATTATTAGGAAAGCCAAGAAATAAAAAAATATCGTTTTCTTTACCTTATGTTCAGGTATGGGTTCAAGTAAATTTGTTAAAACAAGTTGTGATGATGATAAACCTTGATATAAAGTAAATTGTGCCACACGATCTGTTAAATTTGTTAAAACATAGGCTCGTTTAGTATCTGATGTACGTGTATAACCATAGATTTGGTTATGACTTGATAATATTAAATCATATATTCCATATATAAAAATATCATTTTCTTTTCTAAAACGTGTAAGACGTTTATAGAAATTCAATATAGAATGTTCATCTTTTTCTTGTTGCGCTACATTAATATGTACATAATTTGGATTAATACCAATCCATGTTTGTTGTGCTGTACTGAAACCAGCATTTAATGAATCATCCCATTGCATTGGTGTACGAGCATTATCACGACCTGTCATATAGATTATTTCCATAAGTTCATTATGGTCGATACCTTTAGCTAATTCAAGATTATAAAAATTTCTTGCAGCTACATCAGGATAATCACTAATAGATGGAAAACGTACATTTGTCATACCAATTTCTTGACCTATAAAGAAATAAAATATGAAAATAAAGAATTGTTTTTGATATGAATAAACCTTCATAGATAAATGGTGTTCCCATCATGAGCATATAAACAGTTGCAAATGAAGTAGCACAATCTCTCCAATATTCTTTATCATTACCCCATGTTGATATAATACGTGGCTTATCATGATTTTCAAGAAAGACTGCGTTCCAACCAGTTTTTTCTAAACTCTTCTGCCATCTTGTCATTATACGTTTATATGCCAAGACTAGAAATGTTATTTAAATAATTTTTCCATCAAAAAAATATTTTTCAATTTTTTTCTACCGTTAAGTGAACCCAATGATTTTTCCCACAAGTTTGTGGCTTCAAATTGAAAGATCATATTAAATTTTCCTTTCTCTTCATCAACCCAATTAACAGCTTGGTCAGCGCTAACACCATTTGCTTCACCAACAGTAACAACATCACGATCACCATATGCTTCACGCTTAAATTCAGTTAAAAACTCTTCAATACCTTCAACATTCATATGATAATACAAATTCAAGTTGTTTTGGATTTGGTAAATCAGGTAAACCTGATTTCTTTTTTATATGTGATATTGCATCAATACGAAAACCATCAACACCTAATTTGAATATTTAGTTTTACAAAAAATAGTATTGAAATTCATTTGCAATACCTCTATCAAGCCACCAACGCGTCATTTTATATAATTCTTGGCGTAATTCTGGACATTCCCAATTGACATCAGGCATTTTACGAGAAAATAAATGTAAACAATATTGATCTGTTTCTTNATCCACAAATCGGCCCTAAATGAAAGTCGCACGGCAAACTACTTCCGTTTTAAAATTTATGCTTTTCTCTTTAACATTAAACTAATCTTGATGCACATAGACGATTTTGGTGGACACTTCATAGTGTATTCAATGAAATAGGCCATTAGCCCCTTCACAGTAGGTTGCTCCTATGCTTAGCAACATGGCATATCACTGATCACCACTTCATTCCAATTAAAAAGTGCCATTTTTTCAGCGTACGTAGAGCTCAGTGAGACCTACAAAATGATGCTAATATATGTGTCGTTTTTATTAGAGGCATGACAAATTGTCGTACATATTTAACATATAGAATAAAACTTGTCATAGTGGACACTATTACTTTTACTTTCGAGTAAACTTTAGGTTTCATTATAAATTTATAGTGTCCTTATCTTTCTCTTATTATTTCCATTGCGAAATGTGACTGATATTAGTGATATAGGATTGACGAAAAGAAGAGCATGAAACGAAAGAAAATGTTGTTCTTATCTTTATATGAAGATAGTATCCTATGTATCATGCTACATTCTTGCATAACATATATGCAACATCTTAACTAACATCATCTATATAAGCCCACACTAACTGCAGCAAGTAGATATCCGTTAAAATGTTATTCCTTTTGATTAGCTTTCTATGTCATGTATTTCTCAATCATGCAGCCATACTTCATTGTGACTTTGAAACAGATTGTGTTGATTTTACTTTTGATTCCAACTGGGGTTTAACAGATGGTGACCATTCTGAAGGTATCAATCATGATCATACGTTAAATACAGGTGCTGGTCATTATCGTTACTACAATCCGCAATTTAGTCCACAAGCTCAGTGGGCAGAAATACAAACAACTAATCGTTTACCATTGTCAATTCATCGTGTCCTATGTTTTTATATGTGGTACTATACATCTCGCGCTAACTTTCCATTCAATGTTCAAGTTGGACAAGGTGATGATGGACAACTAGCACGTGTATTTTTTTCTACTGCAGGACGAAATGCATCAACTAATGATTGGACATTAATCAATATCACATTACCAACTGAAGAATTAAAAATATTTATTCGATTGAATGTTTCAAATCAACCTTTAACATTCGATGATTTTTCAGTCGATTATTGTGACGGACCACCTCCAATACCTCCGAAAGTTTTATATTCTTGTGATTTTGAATCATCATGTACGAATGATTTTATTTCCTTGCCTCAATATGTATATCAATGGTCAATCCTCAATGCCAGTGATGCTGTGAAAATAGACAAAGTAGCACCAACTGTTGATTTTACCTTTGGAAATGCATCAGGTCATTATGCATTATTATCTAATGCTACAAGAGGTCTTGGTTATCTGCATGCACAAAGAGAAATTCAAATAACATCAAACGAATTCTATTGCTTGAGTTTTCGATATTACGGTACCCAAGGACCGAATAAGCATCAAGCGTATTTATCAATCTATTCATGGGCGTCCAACGAATCGGAAATAATCCAAAAGTTATGGCCAGCAGGAGATCTTCATCAATACCAGTAAATGATTTTGATGAAATCATGTCATTAAAATATATTTCATTTAATTGTAGATATTCATTCAATGAATGGTAAGTGTACATGACAAATCTTGACTGAAACGATTCTGATATGTGCATCAGATCATGATCCAGCAAACAAAAATACTTATCGATCGATACAATTATTTTTTTATACTAGGACTTGGGGTGTTATCAATCTACCAATTGGTAATTACTCACTTCTGTTTCGTGTGTTTAATGGAGATTTTTATTCAAGCACGTTTGCTCTCGATAATATTGCTATCGTCTCATGTGTCTATCCTCCTTCTCAATCTAGTCCATCTCTTCTCTCTTTCTCATGCAATTTTGATCATTCGAGCATGTGTGGTATGATGAGTGCTGCAAGATCGTCTAAGACCGTATTTAATTTTACTCTGTCGACTGGTAATACAATACCTGATAAAAATCTTGGTCCAACGCGTGATCATACAACTAATTCAACATCCGGTGGTTTTCTCTATTGGGATCGACACCAACCACTTACTTCAACAGATTATGGGACAATATATACATCAACAGTAATTGTTGAAAATTTTCATCTGTGCGTTAAATTTGCTTATTACGTAAAATCAACGGCCATTAACAAGAATGGAACAACGATCATTCTCTTTTCTTCACACTCTATTTCACAAATCATATGGTTTCGATCATTAGATGATAGTCAAGGATGGCAGACTGTTATTGCCCCTGTCTATGACTATCTTTATGACAAAACATTTTCATTTTATGTCAATCAAACACAATCAGTACCAGTATCAGTCGCTTTTGACGATATTGAAATTGATCAATGTACCACTTTAACACCAACAACGACCATAACAACGACTACAACCACAAAAACAAGTACTAGTTCAACAACACTTACGACAATAATCAGTAGTAGTTCAACAATAACAAGGAAAACATCGACTCCTGTTCAAACCACTCCAAGTAGTGCTCATCAACTATTGTTTTTAAATGAATACAGTTTGATAATTATTTGTTTTCTTTCGATAAATTTTCGAAAATATTTCTATTAAATTAAAAGCGTTACTGTGTTAATTTTTTCTTTTTGAAAGTTTCTACATATGTTGGGCTCATGAAAGCAATATTACGAAAGTTTGTTTATCTCTTCAAACATCAGCCTTCATAAGTTCTCTAGAAAACTAGTGACTATTAATACGCTTATGATAAGAAAAAATAAAAAAATAATTTGGTCAGATAAGAAAATATTAGAGTCTACATCACATATGAAAGACGTTCGAAATTACAGACGGCATCAGTGATATTATTCCAAAGGTTTTACACTGAATGAAGTAAAAACATAACTATTAATCTGATAATTTATTATGTGCGATAAAGGTGAAATAATATAGTCAAATACTTCAAATAATGAAATTTATTTTACGGGCATTTTTTGATCCCTTGAATTCGTTATTGTTACTATTTTTTGTTTCTTTTTCAGCTTCTTCTTTAAAATAGTGAGCGTGTATTCATCTTTCATTTCAAAAAGTCATTTACTGAGAAATTGAATCAAATCCATCATTTTTTATTTGCTGCATGTTATTAAATAGGATTATCTATGATATTTTTTTATTAGAAAGATACAAATCATAGTAAAGAAGTTATGATCATTATAGGAAAACGTCTATATGCAACAATAATTGACACAGAAATGGAAATGATACAGCAGTCGTGGATATTGAGAATCTTTTGTTACTGGCATATTTTCATGAAAGTTCACGGAACAGAATATAAGTGAAAGATACGAGTATTCTATTTGATAAATAGATAGCGATCATTTAACTTCATTTATTAATAAGACATTTTCTTATACACTCCTTCTCCTCTCAATTTTGGAACCTTTCCACGTACTCTAGATACATTATCATTGCCAATAGAGTTTATGAGTTATATATCTTCTAAGTTGATGTGGCAAAAATAGATAATTTGGAAACGATGTACTTCTCTAGACTATAATGGTTAAATGTACCACGACTTTATCCTTCATTTTGTGGGTCTATATTTTTCAAATTACTTTTATTACAACAAATATTATGATGATAATTACAAATTGACAAGAACTAGCAACGACGATTTACAAACATGTCTTTCATCGTTATTGCCATTGTCAATACGTACTATTTATCCGTGTAGCACTTTAACAATTGAAAAATAGTTCTTAATATCAGTGGGATCATTTCAATGTTAATGAACTATCGGGTGTTCGCGGAGGTCGAATTTCTCATTTTCCTGCTGCTATTGTTTATGCAACTATTCACTAGAGTATAAAAAAGGTTTTCCCAATCTAGATGTTTTATTAATAGCTAAATTATATTTTATTTCGTAAAAGAAAAAGAGTACATTTAAGTATTGGTTGATCCAACTACTCGAACTATTCATACTAAAGCAAGAAAAGTTTTTGAGTTTTTCGGAACTTCTATCTGGTAATTGACCTAGTGTTTCAATGAAAAATATGATTTTTAGGAGTCATCTAATTGACATCATTATAAATTGATATAGACTATATATATACGGTATTTAGATGCGAACAAAACTTTTCAGTCTGAATACACCGATCTCAGTATTGAATCTTATCAAATTTCTTTATTTCTTCTTTATCATTCCTAGATGAAAATAAATGCACTTTACATATGTCGTAGTAGATTATTTAAAATTCGATGTAAATACTCCGGTATAAAATTCCGCTCTAAAAACATTTTTAAACTGAAGCTTTTAAACAAAATCATACTTTTTTGTTTGGTTTAATTTTGTTTCGTTTTATTTATGATACATTCTAAAGTGCCTACATAAAAAGATTTCAGCTGGAACTATTCTTAGCCATTCATTCCATTCTGTGTAAAATTTAGATGAAGCAAGAAGAGGAAACGATATGATAAGTTATTCAATGTAGCACGAAACTAATCCATTTGATGAAGAGCATTTCGTGTCTTTTAATCAACTGTTTTATGCTCTTCGGTCTGAAGGAGTATCCTAGCGAGTCTCTCTGGTTCTTTTTCAAATCATCCTAATAAAATAGATTGTTTGTCAAGTGGCTTTCTTTATGAATCTAAGTAGACGAATGGTTAACAACTAAGATAGTCATAATAAAAATATCAGCCTTATGGAGCTTCGTGTAAAAACGGTTGAATCGATCATCATAAGAAATTTATAGTATGATTTAAATTCCTTGTCGTTTTCTGTCGTTGGTAAAGTGTTACTGAGCGTTATGGTTGATAAAGATATTCTTGAGTTGTCGGTACTGGTGGCATGCTAAGTGATGATATTTATGTTGCTGATAGACTTACAGGTACTTCAACGATCAGCAAAGTAAGAGATGAAGTAGTTGATATCAAATTGATGTATTTTAAAATCATTTACGAGTAGCTTTATGGACGCTTCTTACGGTTTCTTTTGAAAGAAACAAAAGTAAACCATAATTTTTTTTTATTTGGAAAATAAGTAATCGATTAATACCATCAATTAAAATTTCATTTGGTAGACTCTTTTCATGAATATACTTTTTAACTTTCTTGTATAGATCAAATGTTATTTTATCGTAGGTGTGAAATGGTGGCAATTGTTACTATAAGATACAAACAATTGATGTGCTTTACAAGGCTATTCCTATTGGATGACGTATATAAATCTCAAAAAAATTTGAATCAAACTCCAAAAATCTAGCACGGACTACCCGACCAGAGACTACCAGAGGAATTACTAGGGACCACCAGAAAATACCTGGTGTGTCCTCGATACTCTCTGGTAGTGTCTGCTTTATCATTGACCACAAGGCACTAGCAGAGTACTTAAAAAGCAAGATCCAAATATCAATAGAGATGAATTTATATAGGAAATTAATTAATTTTGATCACTCATTTGAAATGAACAATTAAAGATAAATGAAAGATATATTTTTATAAAAAATAAATAAGTCAATTAATTAATCGTCAAAAATTCGAAAAGAATTAATTCGATAGAAAAGAATAAATTATTGATGTTTTCATTTTTTCTGAAGAGAAAAATTTTATTAATGTGTTTTGGGTTTAAAAAATATTTTTTGTTATCTTTACTCTGCACACGGAAAGCATATATAGCACTTCTAATGTTATGAAGATAATATCGTACTTCATTAGAACCATCAATAATTGACAGACGTAGTCCAACTGAGAGTGTTAAACGATTAGCCATTGTTTGTACGTATTTAACAGGACAGCTAAAGACGGCCTGAAGTAACGATTTACAATTGATCCTATAAATGTTCTTCAGACAATAAAGCTATCAAGTGAAGTCATCTTTCGACGGAAAAATGTTTGTTTTTTGACTATCATTATCAAACTTGTCAAAAAGACCGAGTACCTTTGAATAATCTGCTAATGCAGCTATGTATCCAGGTCCAGTAAGCTAGAATAAGATAATATATACGGTGAAAATGAATAATTATTTATTACTCCATTCAAAACTTGTTCACCAACATAACTTGTATTTTCAACTGAATCAATTTTTGTTATTTCAGTATTGTTGCAAGCATTGGAAGTCTTCAAAAGCGTGTCAGATTTGCTCAATCCTACTCAAATTTAAAACGATTAAAATTGTTGTTAAATAATAGCTAAGATAACTATACCAAAACATGTGATGATTGGAGAATAAAATGAAAGTCTTTTTTTTTAATGTAAGAACAGCTGCTAAATAAAATTCGTAATTGATTCGGAATGTAAGCTATAAATGATGTTGTCTCAAAAGCAATGACACGAGCATTTTGAAGCAAGAAATTGGTTTGTGTTTCAAAGATTTTCGTTGCTTCTTCACCATAAATTTCGACAAGATCATACTCTATCGTGTTCGTATAATCATGATTCGCCCAGAAGATATTCTCTGGCATGACAATAGTCATCATCCTAAAAGAATAAAAGAATATTAAGCTCTGAAATTTCAAGAGAGACAATACAACCTCCAGTGAAATTTTCCTTTACACTATTACAGTGGCATATTCGAAAACTTTCGTCGTTTTCAACTCTCTGTTTAGTCTCTCATAAATTGTGACAGACTATTTCAAGTATTTTAGTCCTAAAAGAATAGTTCTAAAAGCTTATTCACTTAGATTATTTTCAACAAGATGGTGCAGGATAAGTATTACTTACAACAAAATAAATCATGTTTTTTATTGGATTTGCAAATATCTCAATCGAACAATTGAATTTTATTCGGATAATAATAAAAGGTTGAAAATGAGACCGAAAAACTGAAACAAACCAGAAAAACATTATTGCTGATCATCGGTTTGAATCATAGATTGATCATAGATAGTCAGTCATATTTTTTCGGCTCGCTTCGGTTTCTGGTTTCATTTTCAGCCTTTTATTATTACCGATAAATAATGGAATTGAAACCACAGAAGAAATTTGGTCTAACACAAGAAATATAAAATTTAATGAAAAAAAAAACAACAAGTTCGAATAAGCAAAAGAGAAAAGATAATTGTTTGAAATATATCTGTAAAAAGCAACTGCATTTATGCATTTTGATTAGAGGAAATTTATTATTATATCTATATTTCAGGTAAAATGTTCTTTGAACAAAAATAGCCTCAGGGTCTTTAGAGAAGATAGTGGTTTTTATTACAGAGTATAATGGAAGTTTACATCAAGAATATACATAACTATGTGTTGCTAAAATATGCAGTAGAACTTTCTCTTCTCACATATTTATACTGACATAGGGCAGACGAAAAACAAACCTATGATGAAGTTTATCTTAAAGCAGTTAAAATACTATGATTTGTTTCAATCTTATTCTGAAATGAATAATAGCTAAACAATATAAACAAATTACAATAGATGAAACATAAACAGAAAATTCATTTCATCTTCATAGTCTAAATACGTAAGTGTTCTCGATCATTGAGTAAGTCAATCAATTAGGGTATAACAACCTATTGCGAGATGAAAGAAGAGAGATAACATTCGATGAAATTGGTCTGTAGAATGTACTGTAAATCATGTTTTAAAAAATGTTTTGCACACAACCTCTGGTAACTCTT